AAATCTTCAGTAAACAGTTCTTTTGTTTTTAATACAAGTGATAAGTGGTCAGTATTGCCTACTAAAGATACAGCACACTTTGATTGGATACATGTGTGTGTGTGACATATTCCTCTGTCTTCATCATGTGTCAGTCGTCTCACAGCGGTCAGATGATCCAGACAGAACAGGGACAGACTCGTGCCCCACAGAGAGAAGACTGTCCTGGACACACAGACTCAGAGACCCCCGTCCAGCAGCAGAGACTCCAACAACATCCATTCAGGACATGAGAGAGCAACCGATGAAGATGAAGAATGAAAACAGACAGAGATGAGAGGAGAAATCAGAAAGACAGATGAAATAGAGGAGAGCAGACTGTGTGAGTGTGACGTCTGTCTGAACACATGCTGTAATCACACACTGCAGTACATCGCCCGTTTCATCTCAATGTTTAGAGTCTGAATCTCTCAGCACTGAATCTGAGCTATAAACACAACGTGACAGACAGTGAATGTGATTCACCATGTGCAAAGATTTGAGGAAAACCAGTAACTCAGTGTTACACTGTGCAGCTGTTACATTAAAGAGACATTTTCACCTGATCTGATGCAAAACAGTAAGAAAAAAAAAACCTATAAAGTGTAACATGCCAAGGTAGCAACAAAGCAAAACACGACTTGCTCAGAATTATAATTTTGCAGTAACAACAGTGTTAAATAGAGTGAGCCAAAAATGACTTTACAACAAAACAATCTTCAGCAACACTAAAATTATGTAGCATTGTGAGCTAAAGGCAAAAGGCAACACTGAAAGCATCAAAATGTTCTAATGTTTGTAAGTTGAGTTATGTATGAAAAAAAATAGGACAAATATGTTTCTGAAAAAATAGACCATTTGTTTGTGATGTCTCAGTTGTTTCTCACAGCAGATTATTTAATCTGACATAGAGACAATGATGATTTAAATATTCTGAATCCAGCGCAGAGGGGTTCAGTGAATGTGGTGTTGAATGTGTGTAAGTGTGTGAGTGTGTGTGTGTCAGAGACGCTGTAGAAGGACAGAGTGCCAGCTGACACATCCACATACACTCCTACTCTATTAGAGGATGAAGGGGCTGGTATGTCAGTTTTCTTATTATCATTCCAGGCAGAGTATCTGTTTTCAGTGCAGTACAGACTCCAGGATTTGTCATTGTATCCAAACCAAGATTCACTTCCTCCTTTCCTGTTGATTGCTTTATATGTCACTGCTATATAAGCCCATCCACTCCATTCAACCTCCCAGTAACAGCGTTCAGTCAGACGCTCTCCACACAAAACCTGCTCATGCTGCTCAAATCTCTCTGGATGATCAGGATACGGCTGATGATCTTCGACGTGTGTTGCCTTTCTGTAGTCTTCAGACAAGATGAGTTGAGTGTGTGCTGTGTTTGGATCCAGTGTGAGATAACATGCATCTGAACACAAGAAGAGACATCACAAGTACATTAAGGACAGTTTCAGAGCTCTGAGTGTGTGTGTTCTGGCATATATGGCTGATGTGGAATATAATGACAAATTTGATAACACAGGTATTTCAATGTAAACGTAGTTTATGAGGGCCCTCTCTGTAAACCAAATGGGTAAAAACATACTAAACAGTGTTTATTTAAAAATCTACATATATGGCTGATGTGGAATGTAATGACACATTTGATAACACAAGTACTTCAATGTAAACATGGTTTATGAGGACCCTCTCTGTAAACCAAATGGGTTAAAACATACTAAACAGTGTTTATTTAAAAATAAAAAAATGCAGAAAATTTTGTATGAGGGGTAGGCGGAGGGTAAGGGGATAGAACATTAATTTCCCTTTCAAGGGAACTTCGAACTGTGTCCTCTAGGGGTCGCTATGGGGGATGCCTTGATGTGACCTGTGTCTGAAGTATACTGTACATTCAAAAAAACACCAACAACATGTTGGCCAGCGACAGCCTATGACGTCACTACTGGTGCGACTATAGTATAAATAGGGCCAGGGAGAACACGTCATCCTCTTCTTCGGTTCAGTGACTGTTTTGTTTGAAGTGTGCATTCCGGTGGTAAAAGCAATCTTTCTTCCCTTATTATGGCGAGCACTAGCAAGACGTTTAGGAGATGTGTGGATCCGTGTCTTCGTTATTTGACACCTGATGACTCACATGATCTTTGCATTTTTTGTTTGGGCAAAGAGCACACACACGATGTCCTCGAGGGGGTAATCTGCGTTCACTGCGAGCGTTTTTCTATGAAAAAGCTCCGCTCTCGTCTGTCTCTCTTTTCGAGGAAGGAGGGGCAGCCGTCTGGATCGCGCCACTGCGAGGCTTGGCTTGCCGTGCGAGCGTTATCTGTCTGACCATAGCTTCCCAGCTCAAGTGAGCCTTCCTTTTCTTCCTGATCTCCATACGGAGGTCGAGAAAGAATGGAGGAGGCCGTTTTCTTCATGCATCCATCAGTTCCAGCATACGAGTTATGTCAACATCGAGGGGATCCGCGAAAGCGGCTATGAGAAGATGCCCCCTGTAGAAGAGACGCTG